GCGGCGGCGGCTGTCTCGGCGAGAGGCTTGCGGGGGGGTCCCTTCGTTTCCTACCGTGGGCATGCTTGATAGCACCCACCACTCTTCGCCTGCTGGTTCTCCTGAAATGTGTGGGTTTGGGTCTGGTGGAGCTGCCCCTGCCTGCTTCTGCCCGCTCCTGGCAGCGCGACCACCTGCTGCCTGCGAGGGCTGCACCGCCCGCGGGTCCTGGGGCGGGAGCCGGAGGCCGCTCGGGAGGCGGCTCGACAGGCCGGGAAGGAGCTTTCTGTTGGAAATTGCTGTATGCATAAGTCGCCACTTAATTTCTGAAGATTTGCTGTTAGTGGCTCTGAGCATAAGTGCTGAGCATCTCTCGTTTTTCACTTACTGGTTAGGGAACTTTGGGACTCTCGGCCCCTTTGTGCCACAGCCTGCAGGAAGGGGGCTCGAGGTTAGGATTTCCTTTCATTCAGTAAAAGGAAGCAAATCCAACCGTTTTCCCAACCAAGTGGTGTGCTAAAGGCCTACCTGTCTTAATTCTTACTTTTTCTTCGCATCTCAGTTGGTTTGGGGGAGTGTGAAACTGCATGTTTATGACCAGGATGGACATCTGGGGTGGAAACCAGGAAGAGTCACTGATTTTTTCTGTTCTCCTTTCTAATTCTTGTAGTTTTGAGTAAGTTACATCAGAAACAAAAGAATGAAATTAATTCAGAAGTGTTTGAGTTAATTACATGTCCTTTTACTCAAGCAATATTCTTGTCTGTTGATACACATGTTCTAGAAACAGACCTTGCTAGTAACTCTGGAAAGAAGTGATTACTAGGCATCATGCAATATTTTCCTGGGATCTTGTGTTTTGGTTTTGTTTGTTGTTGTTTTTTTTAAAGCTTTAAACTTAGGTAATCAAAAATGTGAAAACTAGGAAAGACCAAAGTTAAGATTGCCCTTGCAAACTGAAGTTGCCATATCATCTCCTCTGCATCTCCATTTTAATGGCATCTTCAATTACGTGGTTACATACCAAGTGTCCTGCAGGATAACACCCTCTCCGAAGTGTGCGTGTATGTGCAGGGACTGCAATTGAAAGAAAGGACTGTAGGAAGAGAAAGCATTGCATTTGAAATGGGATTCAAAAAAGCTGGATTTTACTCTTAGCTATGCTGAGCTATCCCCTTTTAAAAAATGCTAGGCAAAGTAGTCAACAGCTGCGCTGCCTGATGCTATCAGTAACAGTTTATGTGTGTTCAGTAAACAGGCATTTTAAACTACTGGTGGAGGAAACCCAGGAGAAGGAAGAAAACCTGCAACTCTCTGAACTGGTTTCTCACTTAATGGAAAGAAAATAAAATACTAGGCTTTTCGTCCCACTGAAGTTTGCAAAGACTTTACAGAGGCATAGAAAAATGATGGATTTATTACTTGCTGCTAACATTTCTATGCCTGCAGTAAATATTAATAGTAATGTAAACTGTGAAGAGGACAATGCACAGAGGGCTCTTTATTTCAGTGATACTGTATGTACCATCTGTGCCAGGTTTGAGAATAAGCAGTGTTTATTACTGAATACAGTCACATAACCTATAGACAATATGGTGGAATCCTTTTTCTCTGTAATAATCTTATTCTGTAATTACCGATATAATTTTTTTAAGGTCTCAGTCTGGCACCTCCCGTGCTGTTTTCCCAAGATCCCTAGATCGGGTTCCTAATGTTTATCCAGGGTGCTGTTGACTTCAGCTGGGCTCCAGAGCACCACAGATATCTTTGCAAAGTGCTCCTGGCAGATGGCATAAAGGGAGTTTAGGCAAGGTTTTCTTTATGGCTTTAACCTGGAAGATGGGTTCCCAGAGACCATGATGTAGACACAAAATGTAAATAAACTTGAAAAAAAAAAGTTGTCTCGGTTCATTCCTAGCAAAAGGAGATTTATCCCTTTGCATGAGGGGTGAGGCAAAAATTTAATGGAGATGTTCCTTCTGAAAATATAAAATTATTCTTTTGTATACTTTAACTAATTGTGGGCAAAATAATTTGATACATTTGAAAAAAAATAGTTTTGCCTGAATCATACCAAGTTTTTAAACAAACATACTTGTGGTTTTGGCAGGAAAATTGCATCCATCTCTAATACTGAAGTGTTCCTTAACTGAGTGAAAAAAAGGTGCTCCGACCTGGATGCAAATCTGATGTTACATGCATCCCTATGGGAGCTGTGTCAGCTGCCGTCTTAGCAGTCAGCTTCATTTGACCATGAGAACCCAAACAACACACTTGTGCTAAAAGTGATGTGCCTCTTTAGCCTCCCAAAGAAACAGTCGCTGTAGAAGGGCTTGGCAGAGCTGCTTGAATGGGGTGCAGTGTGCTGGAAGTGAAAAGCGCTGCTTTCTGTTAGAGTCGTCTAGCGGAGGCTGTGCATGACAGAGTGGCAATGCGATATTGCAGTCTGTTCACTGCAACATTCGTGAGACAAGCGATGGTGACTTTGGCAGAAGGGTTGTACTTCGAGTTTGGGAAGTCGACAAATGAAGGGGCCGCTTGCTGGTAGGGAAAAGGCATTAACAGAGATGTCCTGAGCACCGGGTGGGGATCCCCAGGGAGCACAGTGAGGAGGGCTGTGTAGGTACTGATAACCCCTGGCCATTGCCAGGGGAGTCGATGCTGGAGCGAAGGAGAGAGCCATGGCTGTACAGAAAGCCCTGGTTTATGCTATGGCTGTGTTGGGAGCATGCCTGAGCACAGCGTGTTTGGTGTCTCTGGCTTGTAGAGTCTGCAGCAAGAATGTATAACCTAGTGAGCTTCCATCCTTGTCCAGGCGGGCAGTTTTTTGTCAACAGTACTTTACAGTGTAGTATATCGCCATAGCTGCTTTGCCAGCATCAGTGCTGACTCGTGAAAAAGCAGGCGATGCCCGCATCTTCCACAGCTCCAGCCATGCAAGCAGGTTAAGAGGATCTGTCGGCAGCAACAGAAGTGCTGTGTTGCTGGTTGTTTCTCTGTGACTCCTGAAACCCCGATGGTTTATGAAGCAACGCAAGGACAACCTCCCTGAGCGTTCGGTTTTTGTGTCTCCGCTTGCAGTGTGTCTGTGGAAAAAACGGGGAGCCCCTCAGGGTTAGAGCTGAGTTTGATCTGCAGCGCATGAAAAAGATCTGCTATGTCTGTGCGTCTGAGAGGCCAAGAAAGAGCAGATGGCTGTCGGATGGGACCAAAGTACCTGAGGGGAACCTGCTATACAAGTGCCAGCACCAGCTGCAGCCACTTCGCATGCCTGTCAGAGCTGGGAAGGTAGTCCATGAGGGAGGCGCGTACTTACTATTGAGTGTAAAGCCTTTTGTAGTGTGGGGTTACTTTCCCTTGCATTGAGCATTTGCTTGGTGCAGTGTGTGTATGGGGAACTACGAATAGTCATTGTTGGGTTTTTAGAACAACCCACCACTGGTAAGAGCATGAAAATCCACTTCTCCATTTCTTCTCAGCACTACTGCAGTGTCTTCCCTGCCCTCACACTGCTGTGGATTCGCCATCTGGGGTAATATGCGTTCTTGGAGCAATTTTGGAACTCACTGAGAGAGACAGGCTGTGTGAAATCTTGCTCAATTTTATCCGGCATGGTCTCCTGTGGAACAGACAGGCTACACCTTTACCTCTGTCTGTGGGCACTGGAGCTCAGTTTTTCATAGTTGGCAACAAAATGTCAACTAGTAAGACCCATGCCAAAGTGTATGTGGTACAGGTTAAATGGGACACTTGTTAAAAGCATGAGATCAGCTATAGGATGGGTCTGGAGCAAGGTGAAGACAACAGGCCTGGGCACTGCTGGAGGTGAGGTATCCTGGTTGTTGTGTTAGATCACTCTGTTGGTTAAATGCCTAAGGCCTGGCTGCATCCCCAGAAGAGAAGGGAAAACAACTATGTTAGGAAAGGTCCCACAGAGTGAATTTCTTATCTGGTCTTGATCCTGGATCTGTCTGGAGGTCCTGTAGGAACTGAAGAGTCCCTCGGTACCTGTAGCCCAGTTTTTCTCGAAGGTTTCCTCCCCATAGCAGTGTGCTCCTTGGCTATGGATGCTTCCTTTTCCTTAGTGGAGAAGAAATGGATCCAAATCCAAATATGAGAAGGGGCCATAATCTGCGGTGCATGTGGGAATTACGTCTGTATTCCTCACCAGGATAGGATCCAGCTCCTGGAGCTTGCAGCAGGTCACGCTGCCAGAACTAAAGCTGTCATGGGCATCCATGGTCCCCTGGTATGTGCTGTTCAGAGCCTGTCTCCTGCATGCTGATACCGAAATGTTCAGCCAGCGGCGATGCAGCAAAGCTCCTCACTGTCTGATTGCCGGGAGAGATTGCTTTGCCCTGCTGCCTGCTCGCTCCCACGAGCATCTCAGTGCACTGAGCTGCATCCAGGGAATGCTGCTTACGGCAAGTCTGGCTCTGCGTTAGGGCTTGGTTCTGGCTTAGTGGCAATGCGAAGATTATTGAATGCAATACCTGTGATTCAGGAAAAGGCCTGAGGGAAATCAGAAGAGCCCGGTCCAAGAGAGGGCATCCAAGGCGAAAGACAGATACACAGTGGCATGCAAATTGTGACAGAGAGAGAGAGAGATGACTATGGTGAGGCTCCAGGAAGAAGGAGCATGGTCCAAGCCTGCATTTGTGGAAGAGCAGCCGCAGCCAGGTGCGGTGAGCTCAGGAGTCAAGGAGTGGGAAGGGAATGAAAAGAGGCCTGAAAGGACCTGTGGGTGGTCTGTGGAATTGTGATATAGGCACCTGCTGCTTGATCTGATACCAAGCTGGTTTGCCAAAATTTTTGGAACAAATTTTAATGGACACGGTGTTTATAAATCAGATCAGCACTCATCTGACTGCAAAAGTTTTAATGTGCTCCTTCAAGACCTTATGCCATCTTACAGGTACAGTCAAACCTGGTTTAGGATAATGGGAAAGGGTAGAATTTTACTACCTTGTTGAGTCACAAATTTGTTAATAGGCCAGTTAGATACAGAGCTTAATGGCTATTCTGCAAAAAAATTATTATATCTCCAAGGAAATGAAAAAGTCTTTAAGAAGTCAAGTGTAGAAATATCTTCTGAATAAGTAAGAAATTAAGAAGTTTAGAAGGGAAAAGACTGAATTTGTATGGAGCCATTAGAGGATTAGAAGAGCGAGCTTATCTGTAAAAGCTTATGTGGTACATAAAAAGAGGCTCTGTAGATACAGCCTAAGCTATATGGTATGCAGAAGACTGCAACCACAGGAAATATGAGGAGGGAGATTTTTTTTATATTTGATCTTGGTGCAAAAAGC